CAACTATAATAACTGGGCGCATGCAATTAATAAACGAACGAATCTACAAAATCATATACACAAGAAATATAATCATTTAAATGTGAAATGCATGTAACTAACAAAAATGAGTCAACAAAATTATATTGATTTACTAACCGCAGCACCAATGGCGATAAACAGCAACTCAAAGCGTCCATCTCTATCTGTTTTGATATGAGTTACCGACCCAAGATTTTTCAGCTTTAAATTGTGACAATAAGCCGGTAGTTGGGCAAACGATGCTTCTGGCGACCCCCTCAACAATTCCAAGGCATAATATTTGGCTCTCCAAGCTTGAGAATATGAGATACTAATCTTGAACCGAGCATTCATGTCAGTCATAATTTCATGTCCCCGATATACCCTACCATTCAAAAACATTAACTCAGCCAGAAAACCACCCAACACCTTTTTGTTTTCCTGTCTATGGTGAGGAAAAACTTGGGTTCTTGAACATGTATGTTTATCAATAAAAGTCCTAACTTGAAACATTTCGCAATCTTTTATCCTCTTTGCAATCATACGCCACATACAGTTTTTGTCAATCATACACCTTGTTTCGAAACGATCTTTGCTTGATTTGTTAACTTTTAGTTGATAGCCATCTTCCACACATTTCGTATACAAAGCTATCTTCAAGTCTTCCTTTGTATCAAAATAATCATCTTTCTTGATACGAATAATTTTTGTGTAACAATCAACTGCTATCTTTACCAACTCTTCTTCCGGTATCTGAAGTAATTCTGGCATATTCCAGTTATACTCCCGTGGCATTTTCTTCAGGGACTTTTCTTTGGGGATTTCTTCTTCTTCTTTTTCTTCTTCAGTGTTATATGAATTACAGAATGGATGTTCAACATGTTCATTTACAGTCGTAACTTCCTCCTCATTATCATCAACAACATCTTCCTCGGCAACGGCTGTTTCATCATCAAAATTCGGGTATTGACCAATATCAAAATCATTACACGCAGGGTCTGTTTTTTCTTCTGAAAAATCATCAAAATCCGAGTATTGACCAAGATCAAAGTCCGGGTATTGACCAATATCAAATTTTGAATACTGACTAGTACTCACAAATTTTTTTTGTTGGCTCATCATCGTCTAACTGGTCAATACGAAAATTGGAATTTGGTGCTGAAAGTTGATTGGGATTTGAATTAGGGAAAGGTTGTGGGTTTTGAGATTGTGTTTGGTATTGGAAATGTGGTGAAACAATATTTGCTTGGTGATGAAATTGTGGTGGAACCATTAAATTTTGAGCACCATAAACTGGGGTTGAAAAACTTAGTTGATTACTACCCACTACTGACCTAACTTCACTACTTCTAGGTTCAACAACATACAATGTAACATCATCACTTGAAACACTAATGTAAGCAATGAATCGTTCAACATCTTCATTGTCGGTTAACAAATAAATTTTACCATTTCTCTGATAAGATAGCCTAAATCCACTTAGGGGCTCTAAATTCAATTTATTTGCAACACTTAACATTAGAGTTTCATAAGTTAACTTTTTTAATGACAGTTTTAGTTGAAGATTCATGGGTAAAGGCATATATTGTAAAACACCATGAACATTCTCCCATGACCCTCGAAAATACAAATTTATCCAAACATGATCAACATTAGATGATTTCATTATTGTAAATTAATTTACTAAACAAACGAGCTGCGAAACTAAAACCTGTTGCCGGATGGGGAAGGATATCATTGGATATAGGAACGGATGTCGCCAGAGAAAGTGATAGATGGAGATGGAATGAGTTGCGATTTAGGGATTTAGGTTATGAGTTGCTGCTGCTGCGTAGTTATATACCCAAAACATTTGTGTTGCGAAATTAAAACCTGTTGCGAATTCAGAAATCGAGTTGCGAATTTGAAATTCAGTATTGCGATAGTCAGAATCTCGTTGCGATTTACTAAATCGCAATGCGATTACGTAAATCGCAATGCGATTTTCCTAATTCGAATTGCGATTTACGTAATCGCATTGCGATTTAGGAAAATCGTAACGCGAATTTGGGAAATCGCAATGCGATAGTCAGAATCGCGTTGCGAATCTGGAAACTGATTTGCGATACCGGAGATCGCGTTGCGATTTAGTTGGTCATTTTGGCAAATCCAAAAAAAATTGATTAAAATCGTATATTATAATGCATTTTTGGTCACTGAGGTTATTTTCTCACAAAAATATTATCATTAATAATATAATATAATGATGAGATGTTATATAACGTCATCATCCTCAAATGGTAGTTTAAAAAATAATTTTAAAAAAATAAAATCAAGATTAATATTATTAAAAAAATCAAGATTTAAATTGAAAATGGGTAATATGTTGAGTATTGTTTTTATCAATTTGGTTATTTAAATATCCATTTGCACGAATCAAATGAATTACGTGATAGATGAATTATTATTATTTATTGAGATTTTAGATTCAAACATCAAGAATATTAAAGATATGAGGTGAGAATTATCTTTAAATACATATTAAATTTTTCTTATCTTGTATTAATAAAAAAAATACATGATCCTTTAATTAATTATGACTTTGGGTGGCTTTGAAGTTACGTTTGCAAGTTTGATGGGAATCAATTCAATAAAGAAAATGTCTTTACGAAAAGCAAATAAAAGGACGACGCATTGTTGAATTTCCGAAAGCGACACACCAGCAACCTCCAAAGCTTTTTCTTCGCAACAGAAAACCTAATGTGCAACCTAAGTTTAGGGATTGTCTATCTGCATGTTCATGAGAAACAACCGGCTAAAGAAGGATAAAGAATGAGTGCAATAAAAAATGTTATGAAAAGTATGACGTTTTTATGGAGCGTAACTTAAAACGTTAACTTTTTAATATTTTTGGTTGAATAAAAAATATTATGAAAAAGATGTGCAACCGAAAAATGTTAAGAAAAAAATTTAAATTTTAAGATACACTAAACTGAAAATGTTATGTTTTTATAACATTTTCGGTTGTGTCCCTTCCCTGTAGGTCCTTAACCTTAAATTAGGCCATCGTCCCATATACATTCCCTGTGTTGCTAACTCGAACAAAAGTTGCATGTAACTTGAGCCGTGTTACAATCTTTAGAAAGCAAACCGGAACGTAAAAGAGTATAGAAAACGAAAGCAACTGACAATTGATCCGTGTTAAACCTTGTTTAGAAACATAAAATATTAAATATGTTGATTGATTGATGAACCATGCTGGTGGTCGAGTACAGGAACCATTCGGCCGTCAAAGGTAAAAGAGGTCCACAGACTTTGATTCCGTAAACAAAAAAGGCTAAGGGACTGCATAAAGATTGAGGATTCTGAAATCTGAAACCACTGTCAGCTTTCCATTTTAAAATTCAACTAAATAAAGTTCTTAATAAGGTAAATGCATGAAATCTTTTAGCTTGTCAACATGCTCGAATGTGAACTGAATTTGCTAAGATACCGACATGAGATTGAATTGAACCACCTTCAACAGTAAATGGTCCAATGATCGAATGGGATGTACTACATAAAATATCTTAATAAGGTTGATAATCCTGAGATAACCCAAAATTTAAATGTTGTGAGTCAGCTGCTATTAGTTTGGTTGAAACCTAGCGATCAATCAGTTAAGAGCCTCACATGAAAGTTAATGTTCTGAGACTTGAAAGTTACATCTGCTATTCACCTTCAAAAGGAGTGAGGTTAAGAAAATGGAGTAAGCAGGAGCTAGATATTGTCCCTTTAAAGACTTAATGGTCGTTTAGAGAAGAATTATTGGAGAATTTATTGCTAAACGACACTGATCCTGGAAATACATGGTTATCATTAGAGGAGTAGGGGTCCATTTCCAGCAAATCGCCACTCAAGTATATACCATCGTATAAAGTGGGAGAAACAATCCTTTCGTTCCCGTTGTGGTTGAACCCTCCAATAATTCAAAAGCTCTTTGATTTGGTAATATGACTTAATGACTCGATGTTCACATCCTGCATCAGAAATCTAAATCCTCCTTTTTCACCCCGGAATTAGTTGCTTTGGCCTTTGGGTTATGGCCAATCCATGGGTTTCCACTATGGCACCGAATACCTGATAATGCTCACTTATTGGATTAAAGAAAAAGTTAAACAGCCAGTAACTTTAATCCTTAGCAAATGGGAGATTAGTGGATTCCCCACTACCACTTTACGTAGTATCATTGGTTGATTTTGAAGGTGGGGTGTCGGGTGGAAAGGGAGAGCTGATCTATAATAAAAGATAACATGTTCTAATAATCACATAAATTATCATTATAGTCGCAGTTTTTTAATTTAAAGGAATACGATGAAGTTGGGATTTTGGGTGCAAAAGCAGTGCAGATCTAGAAGATAAGATACCGTGTTGCAATAATCACATAAATTATTGTTGCAGATTCTGTTTTCTGAATTTATAATGAAAGCAATTCCCTCGCATATTTAACCTGAGCATACTTGCCAGCAAGATTCACGATTTTTCCAGACTATTATGAAAGCAACAAGCAAATAAAACAACTGGAATGGTGACTGATGACCTTTAGTTATGTCTAATCAAAGTGACTAAAATTGAAAGGGCCTCTGCTTACCTGTTACATGTGTGACAGTGTGCCTAATTGTTTTAAAATTTTGGAATCTTGTCTTTTACACTGGATTTCAAAACCATATCTATGACAAATTCAGCCTGCCTTCGATTTAAACACTGAATTTTGCTTTCATGTTCAAAAGACAAGTTTCCGGGCCACCAAGAATTAAGCATATTCCTATTTTACAAGCCATCATAAGACGAGTATGAGTCGATGTAAGAAATATGAGTAGATTAAGGTTAGTCGCCATTATTTGCCGCTTGATTTCTACACGCATGCCCCAACTTGAGGCGTTTAACATTATTATTTTAATCATCAATCATTGAAAGAAGAAATTTCTTCCATTATTGAAGGGCATACTTTGTCGGGAACCGATTTGGGGGTCAAACTAATCTCTCCTCATATAGCAGACCCTTCTCCCTTGGTGACCCATGCATTTAGCAATCGAGAGGAAGTGAAATTGCAAACTCGAGCTGTCTTTATTTCCTACACTGAAGAAATGAAGTCATTCAAGTTCAAACTAGTAGACATCTTTCTATTTCTGTGTTTGTATTATGCATACATCTTAGCAGAAGAGAAGATCCAACAAGACAAAAGGACTTACATAGTCCACATGGACAAGTCTAACATGCCAGAAAGTTTCACTCATCACTCCCTCTGGTATGACTCATCTTTAAAATCTGTCTCTGACTCAGCATCCGTGCTTTACCGATATGAAAACGTAGTCCATGGCTACTCGACTATGCTAACAGCCAAGGAAGCTGAATCACTAGGAGACCAACCTGGAATTCTCTCTGTCTTACCTGAGGTGATATATGAACTACACACAACTCGAACGCCGGAGTTCCTTGGGTTAGGAAAGAGCACGGCTCTCTTCCCCACCTCTGGTTCAACAGGTGAAGTGATTGTTGGCATATTGGACACCGGAGTGTGGCCTGAACATAAAAGTTTTGATGATTCCCAGCTTGGGCCAGTGCCATCTCGCTGGAAAGGCAAGTGCGAGGTGGCGAAAAACTTCAGTGCATCAAGCTGCAACAAGAAACTAATTGGTGCCAGGTTTTTTTCGAAAGGATATGAAGCTGCGTTCGGACCTATTGATGAATCAATGGAGTCGAAGTCCCCGAGAGATGATGATGGACATGGAACTCACACGGCAACTACAGCTGCCGGGTCAGCTGTGCCCTTTGCTAACTTGCTAGGATATGCTTCCGGGACAGCACATGGGATGGCTTCAAAAGCCCGAGTAGCCATCTATAAGGTGTGTTGGCTTGGTGGGTGTTTTGGCTCTGATATTGTAGCAGCCATGGACGCAGCTGTTGCAGATAGAGTGGATGTTTTGTCGATGTCTATTGGGGGAGGATTATCAGAGTACTATGGTGACACTGTTGCCATTGGAGCATTCACAGCAGCCGCAAATGGAATTTTTGTATCTTGTTCAGCGGGAAACAGTGGACCTACACCAAGCAGCTTGTCGAATGTTGCACCATGGATAACGACTGTTGGTGCTGGAACATTGGATCGTGATTTCCCCGCCTCTATTACTCTGGGAAACAATGAAAAATACTTTGGCGTGACACTATATAACGGAAAGCAGTTGTCTGATTCCATGGTGCCACTAGTTTACGGGGGTAACACCAGTAATTCAAGTGGTGGGAATCTTTGCATGACTGGGAGTCTGGTTCCAAAAAAAGTTTCTGGGAAAATTGTGGTATGTGATCGAGGGGGTAATGCGAGGGTGCAAAAGGGTGTTGCTGTGAAGGCTGCTGGTGGTGTAGGGATGATTTTGACAAACACTGACCCTTATGGGGAAGAGCTAGTCGCCGACGCACATCTCTTACCTTCAGCAGCTGTTGGACAGAAAACTGGGGATGCAATCAAGAATTATATAGCTTCTACTCGAAACCCAACCGCCATTATTGGTCCTGGAACCACAAAGTTAGGCGTTCAACCATCTCCCGTGGTAGCAGCTTTCAGTTCTAGAGGTCCAAACCCAGTCACTCCAGCAATACTAAAACCAGACATTATTGCACCAGGAGTCAATATTCTTGCTGGATGGACTGGCGCAGTTGGTCCGACAGGGTTAGACAGTGACCCAAGGCATGTAAACTTCAACATCATTTCAGGCACATCAATGTCATGTCCCCATGTTAGTGGGTTAGCTGCACTTCTCAAGGCTGCTCATCCAGAATGGAGTCCAGCGGCCATCAAATCAGCCCTCATGACCACAGCTTACACAGCTTATAAGAGTGGTCAAAAGGTCGAAGATGTTGCCACAGGAGGACCAGCAACACCATTTGATTATGGTGCCGGGCATGTGGATCCAGTTGCAGCCCTTGATCCTGGTCTCGTCTATGATGCCACTATCGATGACTATCTAGGTTTTCTTTGTGCCTTGAACTACACACCAAATCAAATTAAGAGCACTGCCCACAGAGACTTCACTTGTCAGAAAAGTAAAAAGTATACCCTTGGAGATTTTAACTATCCATCCTTCTCTGTTCCTCTGGACACTGCATCGGGAAGAAGGGGTGTGGCCAGCGTCTCAAGCACCATCAAATATACTAGGAGCCTTACTAATGTTGGTGCCCCAGAAACATACAAGGTTTCTGTGTATTCACATTCTCAAGCAGTGAAAATGTCGGTTGAGCCAGCAACACTTACTTTCGGTGCACAATACGAGAAAAAGAGCTACACCGTGACATTCAAAGCGAGTTCCATGCCATCCGGTACAACCAGCTTCGCCCATCTCGAATGGTCAGATGGAAAACACATTGTTCGCAGTCCAATAGCTTTCAGTTGGACATAATCATGACACTAACTGGACTCATGCTACAAATACTGAGACTTCCAAGTGCCCTCTGACAGTATATGGGTCCGTCTCAAACTATATTATCTTACGGAAACGTTCAAAGCAGATGCAAATATAAATGCTCTCTAAGAAAATTGGGGAAGAGTAAATTGTGTTCTTAAAAAGTGGTCAGGGAAAGTGGCGGAATAATTGTACGCTGATCTGCCTAAATAAGGAACATGTATTTTCATTTAAACTGGATTCCTAGTTTAAGTATGGTTTACTGATCTTACATCTAGTGTTCTAATATCCATGTATTACATCACTCAAACTGTTGGGCAAGATAAAAGATGGTTATTGTCATTATATTTCTTTCTTTTTATTCTTGTTCTTTTTCCATTAACTTCACACTATTGAGCAAGATAAAGATGGTTATTGTAATTATATTTCTTTCTTTTAAATGCTGCTCCTTTATCAATTAATTTCACACATCATACCTACAAGATTTTACACAAAGACTTACTGCCTCAACAATCTAGCAGAGTACTGATTGACAAACGATTTCTAGTCTTCCCAACAGCTTTGCATCAAAACCAAAAGAGAAAACAGCACTTAGAGTATCAATCACATGCATCTAAGATGTGTGGCTTATTTTATTGAGCATTACAGGGTTTTGCCACACTAAACCAAATGAAACAAGGAAAAAAAACAACGAGAAAATGGAGAAAATGGTTTTAATTACAGAAGAGGTAGAGTTTGAAGAGCATTGTAAACAAATAATCATTGGTTACAAAAGTCAAAAGGCCTTTCAGATTGGTTATCTAGTTTGGCCAACAATGGGAATATTAACCGGCTCATGTCTCTCTCCTTATACTGTAAAACAGAAACTCATTTTTTTCCTTGTTATTTGAAGAATAGTATGATGATTTCTTTTAAGAAAATTTTAACTCAAATTTGCGTTAGAATGAGTATTATAATAGAACCTAACAAAAAGAACAGACTTCTGACCAAATTGTCTTATTTTCTAGTAACTAAAACTTAACCAGACAAAGGAATTTGGAATAGATCCAGCACACACACAATGGACTAGTTCTTATTCAGTAACAAATTTTCTGAAAGATGTTATCTGCACTAAGTGAATCCATTTTACACAATCCTAACGGTCCAAAGTTATGAAACGCATGAAAGATGATACCGGAGTGCTTTAGATAAATCCAAATTTAAAGGAAAAAGTAATTCACATGTAGGGCATATGAACTCATCATTCTGGTTCCTGTATAAGCTGACAAACAGGGAGATAATACGTGTCAAGTTGCCAATATTTCTGACTCACACCACTCCAAACTTTTTCACCTAAGCAATCCTTCACGGGCAAGGGGATTAATTGTGTCGAGTACCCCAGAATCTCCAGTTCTAGTGAAACTAAATGGCAGTAAACAACATGGAAGAATGCGTTACCTCCACAAAGGCCATTAAAAAACGACTAAATTCCTCCAGGTTTCAATAACTTACGAAGATGCTGATGGAACTCTCTCAGGTCTTCGTAGTACTCTCCATAGGTGTCAAAGAAAATACCTATAAAGGTTTCACATACAATTCAAGGTGTTACTTAAGTAGGTAGTCCTATATACCACAAGGACACATTTCTAAGATAAAAAGGTTATTACTCTACACTAGCTGAGTTAGCACTTCCTTTCTAAAGTTTTTACGAGGTAAGAACTCGGACTATTAGTATTTAATAATCAAACTCAAAAACTTTAATTATTTGAAGAAACTACACTGAAACTTGCATCTCCAACTGAATAAGAAGAGAAAATGTCATAGAATGAGTGGCATACATGATGATTCACACATGTGCACAGAGATTGAGTGGTGTTCAAATTACCATCATAAGAATCAAGTTGTGAAAGAACATCTTTCCAACGACCAAATATTATCTTCATGTTATCCTTTTTGCCCCAACCAATTTGAAGCATGCGTTCATAGACCTCCGGATAAGCCTCGACAATTGTGTGCGTAGCTGGACCATACTGTTGAATAGTTGTATCCACAAGACCCATTCCAAACCCAACATTTAGTATGTTGCCACCTCCAGTGCAAACAGCTTTAGCATGAGCTTCCATCAATGATTTCTCCCAAGCCATCATCACAGCTTTGCGTCAGAGTCCATCAACTTATCCTCACTAAAGGTAACTCTATCTTCCAAGTAATCCCCTTCAGAATCACCATGCTTTTTTGTTTTCCTTGCAACCGTTTCCAAAATTAATTCTGCCTGAATTCCTGTTCAATTACAGACACTTATTTGTCAACACATCATATAAATTCGCTGTTGGAATCTCCCCCGTCCGCCCTATTGAAACAATGTGTAACCTTTTTGCTATAATTGGTTTCAATTACTATATTTAATGAATTTTTCAGCTCCCTGAGTCTTTTTTTTCATATTAAACTTCAAGTAAAGAATTAAACAAAGCAACGAATTACCAGCATTGAGAAGGACTTCAAAGGCTTCCTGGTAACCGGCGTACATTGCAAAGTCACCGGCGGATTGGTTAGATGGAGAGAGAGCGTTCCAGGGGGCGCCAGCCTGAAGGAGGGCTTTGACTGCATCGGTATGCCCGAGCTTGGCGGCGTGCATAAGTGGCGTGAGACCATCCCTGTCGAAGAAGGAGACATCGGCTCCTCATTCTATCAAAGATTTCGCTTTGGCGACGTCTCCGTTTCTCGCAGCTTCGCAGTGTTGCTCTCCTTCTGTTTCCATGTCTGCGCGTACTACTCCTGGTCACATAGTGAGGAAATGCGAAGTAAAACCCTGCTACGCAAAGTTACAGATCAAACTTATTTGTTTTCCGACAGTTACCACCGCGAATCACTCCTCCACTTACCATACCTTTTATGTAAAATGGTAGGTCCAGTTCAACCAACAAACCCAAATTGACAGGCCTACACAATTAAATTTAATGAATTTTTTTAAAAAAACAACTAATTTTATTCATAACCGTAAATATTTCAAATTAAAAATAAACATTTACAATTACAATGATAAATTAAGCATATAATTAGGAAATTTTCTTATAATCATTGAAACAAAACTATGAATTTAAGATCACATAAGGATCATACAAAAAAGATTAAATTTAACTAAGAAATTCTAACAAAGATAGATAAAAACATATCGCATCGACAAACGAACCACAAAAAGGGATCAAATTATTGAAAAACTACTGATAAACCATAAATCAAACTCGAGCGACGTGAAAAGCTATCCACAACTGCAAATCAAGTATCCAAATACGAAATTTAATACGTTAACATTAATTTTTTTCCTTTTTATAAATTTTGTAAGTTGAATTTTAATAAATTAATTATAATTTAAAATTTTAAAGTAATTACAATTTTTTATTAATATAGAGGAAGTGTAATGTAATATTTATTTAAAAATAACTCATTAAAGGCTTATACATCTAACATTCTTGATGTTGAAATTCAAGATTTCAAGGAATAATAATAACTCCTTCACCATCGATATCACTTGACCCGTGCAAAAGATTAATCTCATGTTAAAATACATATAGTAAAAATGTTTTTTTATGTAAGAATAAACATTTTAGCTATGAAATGTTATCATTGATTCTCGGATAAACTATCTGTTTAGTCATTTATTTATTCTAATGTTTTTATTTTAATCATTTAATTATTTTTAAAAATCATACCTAATGTTATATTTTATTTATGTTTTAATCACTTACTGTTAGACACTTAATCATTGACTTAACAAAAATGGTGATGTAACATGGTGTAATAATAATTTTAGTATCTAAAATTTACTCATACTATCAAATTGATTATAATTCAAAGCACTTCAATAAATTCTGGATATTTAAAAATCTTTTTTTTTATCTAACATAAAATGTCAAAATCCTCTCTCAAATCCCAATCTTCCCCGACACCTGTTCTTCAATGTCGTCATCGTCAGTTAGTCGTCACCTTTTCACACCGGAGATGAGGTGGAGTGTCTTGAAATGTATTCAATGGTAGATTCCTGGGGTAAAATCATTGTTTGCTTTATATGTTTTCAGATTGGGGTGCTCATGCTATATTTTGTATCCATATTCACATAAATCACATTCTCAAATTGAATTCATCATGGTATATGAAGCTTAATCTTCTTGCCATCACATGTAGTTCCATTCACATATCATATGATATGAAAAGGAAACAGAATCTTTGACTGGCAGTTCATACTTATTTGGGGGGAAGGTTGTAAAGGAGTCCGCTTGTGCATGTTATGCTGGCACTTGAATGTTACACCAAGTAAAGTTTTGAATGTAGTACAACAAACTGAAGGAGCACTCTACCTTGTTTAAGAGATCTAGTTTTTCATCTCACTAAATCAACTGATTGTTGATTATAGCTCTTTATTTATAATTGAAAAAGAGAACAAAAAAAAAAAAGAAGCGTCTTGAATTTGGCTTGGTGGTTCATCTTGAAAGTCAAGATGAGTTAGAGCGTGGATGAGCCAGCATTGAGGCATCCGTAAGCGAAGTAGGAAGCAGCAACCAAGAGCGGTAAGAAGAACTCGACAAGGGTCGCGTGTTTAGGCATGTGATCATCCTTGATCACAAAAGCACTCATCTCATTCTTCTTGGGTTCTTCAACTGGAACATGTGAATCCCCTTTGAAGGTGTAACCCTGGACAACACCAACCTGGTACTTGAGGAGCAACTTCTGAGACGACTTGCTGTGCCCGATATCATTGAAGGCATGTGTGGCGTCCTTCCCTGCACACAACCATAGTATCATTGCAGCAAAACTCCGTCTTGAGGTCTTTGAGAGTATCTTGTTGTACATGAATTCTTTCTTCAACCCTTAGACAATTGTCAGTCGTACTTTGATTGCAGTTTTGCTCTATTACAAGTATGATATCTTCCAAATCTTTTTCGTACACTATTTGAACCCCACATTTCTTCACCTCAACACATTCGCCAAAAACAATGTATTTCAATGATAATTCAAGTTCATCGCACTCCTGATTTGAGCAATCTTGTGTTGATATATTCTTAGTTTCACTTTCACCACATTCATTCTCTAAGGAATATGGACATATCACGTTACGCGACAAATAATGAAGAAAAATGTGATCATTTTTTATGGGCTGAAAATATTTTTCCCTTAAAACAAAGCCACTTGCATCCACAATTCGAGTTTCTCTACAACGGATTACAACTCTACAGCCAATATCCTCATTCTTCAAAGCATCACCGTTGAAAAAAATGCAGCAGAAAGCAACTCCCAT